GTAGCCTCTATTTTGGAAATTCTTACTGGGGAGAGGGATGGTGCACGGTAATTACCGTGGGTAGGAAGAGCCCTTGATCGGCTTTTGACCATACTTTCTCCATGAATACTCGTCCTGTGGTGTATCGGCACTATTCAAGCTAATTGCCGGTATTCTGATTGTATTCTTCAGCCGATATTTTCTACACAAAGCATACAAAATTTTAGAGGTCCGAACGATCGAATAGTTTGGTAAACGATAAAATCAGTTCTTCAGTAAATTTTGATAAGAGTAAATGAAATGTGTGGCTGAAAAATTGTGAATTTCATGAAATATATGATTAAAATTAATTGTTGACTTTGACTTGAAATTTAAATTGAATTTTAATCCAAACGAGGGCTTAATTCCGGTCAGCAGTGCCATTAAGGTAAAATAAACATAATTTCTTTCTTAATGATCCCCTAATTTTAATTTATATTCCCCTTTCATCTATAACTATATGTAAAAGTAAACTTAAGAAATTCTTAGTTAAAAAATATTTCATTACCCAACTTATAATTTTGTCTAAATTTATAGTCAATCACAAAATTTGTTAATTTTAGTAACAATGAAAAGTTGGATTGAAGTGAAAAGACAAATTTGGTGACTAAATTGAAACAGAAATATAAGTTACGTGGTTTAATTGNNAAATATAAGTTACGTGGTTTAATTGGAAAAAAATAACGTTGAATAGTAAACTTATCTACTTACCTCTTTTTGCAGTGGCAGCTGCCGGTACCGGAGGTCTTGCCGGATACATTATCGGATTGTTCATGTTCATGACATATCTTCCCGGAGACGGAAGGCTTCACGGAGGAGGCAAGCGGCGGCGCCGCCTTAATCAAGAACGTAGATTGTTGAGACCCACTCTTGCCGTTGGACACGCTCCCTTCGCCTGTGGTCGACGAAACGAAAGTCAACGACGACGTATTCCCAGACGTCGACAGTTCCGGCGATGTGTTAAAACCCTCGTTGAAATGAGTGGGACCCACCATGCAATGATTCGTAGAATCAGGAGTCACCAGCGGCGCCGGAGACCCATAAAGAAGATTTTGATAGAACCCAGAAGTCGAAGGCGGCGGCGGAGGAGGAGGGACGGCGGAAGATTGAGGTTGATTTTGAAGTGGTGCGGCGGCGGCGGAGCGGCGGAAGCGGGCATGGCCTATCTGGTTGTGCATAGAAATGGATTTTCTAAACTTGGAAACATTTGAATCAGAGATTTCTGTGTAGTCTAGCATCTGGTTATGGTGTTGGTGATCTTGCAAGGCTATTTGCTCTTTTAGTCTTGCATAACTTAGAAAATCCACAGCCATAATTCAAAGAAAAGATGAATAAGTATCGGCGAGTAAGAGAAGAGTTCTTGCAGTAATACAGTGAAAAAGCAGTAGGAATTCTTGGATGTAAGGAGAGGGATTGAAGAACAATATATGGGCAGGGGAGGGGAGAGATATTCCGGCCTGAAATTTCGTCCAACGTCACTCGACTTATAGATTTATTTCATATTGGTTGTCTAATTACAATTTGTTTCATATTCATCACTCAATTCATACTTTTGCCTTAGTTTATTGTTCCGCTTGTAACTGTGACCAAAAATATCGGTCAGTCCCAAGTGGCTATAGAATGTGTGGCTCGCAATCAAATGCATCTTAATACAAAAAAAAGAAAATGAAGCTCAAAAATAGGCTTGATTTCTATATAATTTATTCAGAAATTTGTTTGCTAGTTTAGTATAAAAAAGTTTCGCATTACACACTCCATTAGCCATGTGACTGGCCATTAATCTTGGTCATGAATATCAATACGAAATGTGAAATTTATAATATATAATGTTAGATGACCAAGTTAAAGTAAATCAAGGTTGGGTAACTGACATGTAATAAACTGTCAGTTGGGGCAGCTCCAATGAAATTTTCCAGATGATCGGACGGCTGATGAAGAGTCAAACATTGGAAAAAATTAAAGGCTGAGATTGTTTTGAAAATTCAATGTTGTATGAAACGACAAAACAATGGTCTTTATTTAGTTTCAAACGGTGGGACCAATTTGTGGAACCCCTAGAAATAATGTTGCCAGTACAGTTTTATGCTTCCAGAGCAAGGAACTTCATCGTTACGTTGCACAATGTCGAACTTGAATTGTACCTCGTAGTGACTTAGTGGGTTCTGCTCTGGCACCACAAATTTTCCAGGGCAAATTTGTCCATTTAAGAATAGAATAAAATTTGCTGAATTTATGGTGAAGTTTGACGAGATTTTAAGTTAGGTGAGAAAGAGACGAAGTAATATGATGGAAATTATGCTTTGCACATTGGTAATCTCAATCAAGATTTTTGTCCCAATTTTCCTATGCAAAATTGATGACTCGATTTTTGACTTAAAAAATTGTAAGTGTACAATACCACTAAATTCGTAATAAATTGAACCTTAGGAATCCATATTATCATTCTCATAAGAATTAATTGAATACCAAATTAAATTAACTCTAAACAATCTGCTAATATAGTTTTTTGGATATTAACTTAAACTAACTAATAATGTAACAAATGGTTCACGAAGTAGAAATCAAATAAGTAATAGTTGAGTCCCGATTTCACTTAGTTATGGTTTTAAGAGACTTTTATTAGGTAAAATTACCCAAAACCCTAGATATAAAGATTACTACACAAAATTCTCTTTACACACACACGCACGTACACACATACAAGCACAAATATATACACATAAATCTCTCTCTCTCTCTCTCTCAACACCCCACCCTCGACCAATGCGATCACAACAAAAATTAGATCTGAAAAGCTCTGTTGAACTAGATCTCAATTGCCTCTTTTTGGTGCAGTCGAGGAACAAGATTTGCATGGTGGTGGTGTAGGTGGTGGCGATTGTGGTGCGTTGCAGGTGGTAGCGACAGTGATGTAGTGCATGAGGTAGTGATTGTAGTACGTTGGAGGAGGTGGTGGTAGGAGTTCCTTGTTCAATTTATTGACTGGCTTGTTGTTTTTGGTTGCAGTGGTGATGGGTTGTAGTGTTGGTCTGCAATGTGTACGAATTTATTTGTGGTGATCTCTGTGATTAAATTTGTGTTAATTGTGATCGGTTATGATCAAGCATGTGTTAATTGTGATCGATTGTGACTTTATGTGTTGTGGTGCTAGTCTGCAATGTGTGCGAATTTATTTATAGTGACCTTCTGTGACAAAGTCCATATTGATTGTGACCAGTTGTGATTAAGTTTATGTCAATTATGATCAATTTTGTGGTAACTGTGATCGATTGTGATTGTATGTGACCGTAGTACCCAAAACGTTGCTACCACCACCACCAATAGGTCAAGTCCAACGTTCCAACATCGTTTGCATTGTACCGCTATCACCAATGTACGACCACCTCTTTAAAGGGATCTTAATATGGTTGCTTTCGTTTTGTAATTATATATAGAGAGAAAGAAAGTTTGTAATTGGAGAGAGAAAGTATTGCTTGCAGAAAATATTTTTGCGATTGGGGGTTAGATTGGGGTGGAAGGGTAAATAATGCGGCAATGAAGATAATTATCTCATAATATTAATTTATTGAAATTACAACCTGATTTGTGAAAGTATTTTATAAGATTGTTAGTTGTGAAATGTGATTTTTATAGTCTTGTAGTCATGTATTTTCTCCTTTATTATGCATACCAAGACCAAAAACCCCAACTCAAGTTACAATTTAAGGCTAGTGGAATTTTAGAATGAAAAGAAGATCTTTTGAATTGTAAATATGTTTTAGAATGAATGAAAAAGTTCGCTTTAGTAATTCTCATTCAAAAGAGAAAAATAAATCAGTTTCTATTTAATTTAGTGGAAATTGTAAGAAATGTCNTTGGATGACTATTTGATCCATGGGCTGAACTTCGTCCCAAGTCCCCTTGTTTTCTCGGATAATAAATCTTCAACCATACTACATGTACCGAAATGGATGACAATGTGGATGGCCGAACACTCATAATAGAGGAGGCCCACATTTTTTTCAGGAATTTTTTAATCACACGAGGCCCTCATGCATGTGAGAGGTTGTTAACCTCCGTTGTCATCCATTTATGTACAAATGGAATTGTCCATAAATCTTTGCTCGCAATCATGATTGATTCTACCTCTTGATCGGCTGCAAAGTGTCAAAATCAAGTCCACTCCCAAGCGTCCTTCCGTTAGTACTTCAGCAACACACTAACAAAAATTAAACTAACAAAAGAAAGACAAATATTTCTATTTTATTCACAACACGCTAACATCAAACACTAACATAAAACACTAATATCACCTTAAAAATAACACAACATGTGCATCGCACGGTTCAAAACTAGTAAATCATAAAAGAACTAGACTATTGGAGCATCTCCAATGAGGGGTCAAATAATTAATAGTGTAATACTATTCATTTACGCAAAATATAAGAATTTTTAATAACTCCATTTTGCCTTTCTTTCCACTGTACAAAATTATTTCTTCCATGTCCTTCTTTTATATTTTAGTATTAATAGATTTTAATTGATATATAATTATTTTAATAAGATGTTATTTTATTACATTTATTTTTAAATTCTAATAAACTAATATGTAATAATTATTTCACCAATGAATTAATTTTTCTTGTGCTTTTAAGTGTAATTTTTTTTAATTGCGGGATTATGTTGAATGTTTCTTATTTAAATTTATTAGTAAATTCAATATTTTAGTTCATTACACTTAATTCTTAATTTAACGATTTTTATAATAGTATAATTCGTAATTAAATAATTCAAAATAAAATTTCGTGTAAAACCATCTCCAATGATTTACACCAAAATTGGTGTAGGTTATACCAAATTACACCATTTTTGGTGTAAACCATTGGAGACGGTCTTAGGACGCATTTATAGAATTTTCCATGTGCTGTGGTTCCACAATGAGCTAATTTTTGTCATCAATCAATCCGAACTACTATTCAAGAAAATTCTTCAGGTTTTCTTGTTGGATTCGAAGTCATACTTGATAATTGAATTTTTAATTGGCAAAAGCTCCGGGAGTCCAATTCATTGTTCTTTCAAATCAAACATTCCACACATGAATTTGGGGTCTACTTAATCTTCTTAAATTTACAAAATCTCCTTGGGATTAATCACACCAGGATTTGTGAAGGTCCATATTCCTCAACAGTTTTCCTTGCAATTTCAATTGGAAATAGGTAGAAGTTCATCGACTTTTGTCATGCTATTTGGTATGTTAACCACTTTGTTATGTGTGATTTTTGTTATGAAGTTTTGCCGGTTGTTGAGATCAGATGAAATAGGCATTCTTACCCTGCGAGTGCATACGTTGTCATACTCTTCAACATATTGTCTACATGCAATATACTTGTTACTTTTTCGACTTGTATATTTCCAAAAAGTGGATATTGCTCTAATAGCTCTAAATAATTTAAATACACGGTGCAAGTCCCATTGTCATACAAAAGTATACCCACGAAAGGAAAATTGTCATGGTCTCGAGGAATTAGATTTGACCATTCATTTACATAGGCAAAACTAGCCATGAAGGTATTACCAAAAAAATAAAATAAAATCATTTGGCATAGGCTATGAGCACCTAATAGGGTCGACGGATGACTGTTCCATTCTATTGCTGGTAAATACTGACAATGATTCATTTTGACTACAGCTAACGAATACTATCCAGTCAAATCCACTATTGAGAACCAAAAGTGCACTAAGCTTATTATCCTTTTGAATTATGTAACAAAGATGTACACAAAAATGGAAAATTAAATTTAGCCCTTATTTGGGCTCCATCAAAATCAAAATTTGGGAAAAAAAAAAAATTTTAGAATAGTGATTTTTTAAAGAATTTGTGGTTAAAAAGAAAGAAAAATCTTGAATTTACATGTAATATTATTTTATTAAAGAATGTGTAATTAAAAAGATGAGAGAGAAAAATGCATTTTTTTTTAAATGGAGCCCAAACTGGGGCTTATACTTACCAATGCCTTGGTTTTGGAGTAGAAGGAACTTGTAAAATTCAGTAGGTCCTCCTCCTCCTATCTAACTCTCGAGCCCTCAGAGTTGTTCTTGTGATACTCAAATATACAGCCAATTGCATAATTCATCACTGTTATGAAAAATGAGGATTGACAATATAAAATAATAACAAAAACACAAGATTTAAGTGAAAATTCAAGACGTGAAAAAATCACGAGTAGAGAAAGAGAAAACTCACTATATCAAAAATGATTACAAGATGTACGATTACTTCAAATAATATGATACGATTAAGTCCTAACATACACCATATGATAGAATCTTTCCA